AAAGATAATAGTATCTTCCACAAAAGCATCCAAGAACTGGTAACCTAGTATTTATTGTTAGTATTTCATTGTATTTTTATCGTTTGCCAGGTAAGTTGAGCTTATTGGAATATTGCCCAGATAAGGCACTAAAATACATATTTTAGTTTTTAAGCAGAGAGATGGGATGTAGGAGAGATTTATAAGAAATTTATAAGAATCAACAATATATAATATTCCATAAAATATTAAGGATTTTCACCTAATCCATTGCACCAAGGGTATTTTCATTGACTATAATACTTTGTCTTATTTGACTGCATGATGACACCAGTAGATACTAACTACTCTAGAAAAATACACGATATTTGAAGAGTATTCGCGTCGGGTAAGGGCAGAAAAAAGAATGAACAAAAATTAATGAGCATAGTAACCATGATTTTCCCCAATTTTAAATGAGAGCCAATGACTTGGCAAAAGATGTATGATTTGTATGATTTGCAAAATTATTCACGTTTGTAATTTTGAATTTTTTTGGTTTACTTATTTTGAAGGAGAGAAAGGGAGTGAGTGAGCACACAGCGGGGGAAGGGCAGAGAGACAGGAAGACAATCCCCAACAGGCTTCGTGCCATGGTGCCATCAGCATACAGCCCAATGCAGAGCTCGAACTCACAAATCATGAGATCATTACCTGAGCCGAGATCAAGAGTCGGATGCAACTGTGCCACCCAGGCACCCCTCATATTAATAGTTTTATAAGGAGTTGGAATTACATTAATCTTACAGTGAACAGTTTGTGTTAGTTAGTAGCTGGTACAATTTTATAAACAAATATAGCATTTAGCGCATCCATCCGTGTTTCCACACTTTTTCGTTTCCCATGAAGCTGATGGCCATTGTACTCATCATGATGGGGGTAACTTACACCTTCCCTAAATTTTTCACATCTCTCCTGACGAGTCTCCCAGTAATTAACTCGTAATATCACAAGAAATAGTAGGTGCTTATTGGTCAGGAGTATCTTTACTGACACTGAGTGACCTATGTTCACAGGATTTACAACTGGCCATTAGTGGCCCAATTTACACATTTTCTTTATGTCTAGAATACTGATATTCACACATCATTTTCACTGACTTGCACTCATTTTTGTGTTTATTCCATTCAACTAGTGCATTCTCAAGACGCTATGTTTAAAGGCGTAGTGACAGACCTGCATACAGAGACCATATATTCGCCAATTTACATTCAGACCACTAATAGTTTTTCAACCTAATCCAAGATAATTATCCAAGATAATTGATAGAGAACATTAAAATCTGCCTTTAATAAACAATGGAACCATTGAATCCAAGTCATCTGTAAGATAGTTGTACCAAATCCGTGTATTTGTAAGACGAACCCCCAAACTTAGACGTTTTTCTCTCTTATAAGTGCCAACAGGGCAACGTCCCCCCACACAGATTTCAGAACTTAACCTGGCAGTGGCATGTTGGAAATTTGTGATGGTCACACTGTGGAGAAGCAGAGCCAACATTCTGTCTGTGGCTCTTAAAACATTTTTGTCGGAATAACAGAAGAATTTGGAAATGTTAAACAGTAAACTTGTAGCATGGGAAAAGAAAAGAGACACCAATTACTCCACTGCTATTGAGTACCCATTGGGGTGCATAATAGGGCTTCGTCCTTTGTATGCACCGTCTCATGTAATATTCGTAATGTTATTTGTATTACTTCAGGCTCATGTACCCGTCGAGAAAGCCCCAGGGCAAGGATGAACTTTTTTTGTTCACGCATTTGTTTCCACGGTTCTCCAAACACTCACACGCACACACAAAAAAAATCACAGTTTTGAATCCATACCAAGAAGGAGAAATATTGAATAAATGTACAGAACGCCTCTCACATCAACCGGAAGATCTAAATGAGCCTGCTAATTATCATTGTTCCTGTTACATGACATTCACTGGGAACAAATGTTTCGGACCTGGGAAGGCCACTGTTTTTGTTTATTTGTTTTTAATTCTGCCCCATTTGCTCCATCAGTAAATTGTTAAGATGAGGAGATACTGTCTCTGACCGGGAAGTGTCTCACAGTTCAAGGGTATGGCGGTTGGCGCAGTGATGGTGAGAGTCACGTGAGCAGAGAGCCCACACTTTGTTATCTGAATCTCGAATCATACCCTGTTTTCATACTTGAAGATGGAAGAGGCCGATGTGATCGTGCCGTAGCGCAAACTGAGTCGTGGTGATATCCCAGTTAGCAAGCCGTAAACACTTGCCAGATTTCATAAAGTTATTTGTACACGGCCATTTCAGCCCATGCAGGCCCATTGACTTGGGTAACTAAATATTTTCTTTCAGTGCATGTAATGTATACGTTTTGTTGAGAGAGAAACTGGCCAGCACTCCATCATTGTTATGGGTCCCTTTACGTCCTTCCTTGATTCCACAGTTAGGGTTGGACTTAAATTTAGGAATTCAAAAGCCAGTGAAGGGAAGCACACCTAGCAGCTAACAGAAAAATGAACTGTGAAATTCAGACAGAAAAGCCTTAAGAACTGACGAGGCTTTCAGTGTTATGCAGTTAACAAAAAAATTAGCTACAAATTTACGGTACTTCTGTATTGAAACCATGGCCTTTCTTGTAGGTTTTACCCGGGAAGTTCTTCAGTTGAGACACTGTTTTGACTAATAATCATTTATTTGACATTTTCTAACCAGTGCTTCCAGTTTTCCTGCTTTTGTCAGAGTCTGAACTCTTCCATCACATTTAATGGTCATACAGCATTGACACCTGAAAGTACATTAGATTTACGCTATCACAAAGACCACGTGTCTGGGAGAGAGCGCTCGTATCTGATACCACACATGTCCGCACAGTATGCACACATTTCTCGCCCTTAGGTAAGTTTTTTTTTTAATTGCGGTAAAATACACGTAATGTAGCGCTTGCCGTCATAACTCGTACGCAGATTTTTTTTTAAATTTTATTTTGAGAGAGAGAAACAGGGAGAGAGAGAGAGAAGGAGCAGGGGAGGGGCAGAGAGAGAGAGAGGGAGAAGAAGAATCCCAAGCAGACCCCATGCCAAGTGCAGAGCCCGACGTAGGGCTCAATCCCATGAACTGTGAGATGGTGACCTGAGCCAAAGTCAAGAGCCGGACGCTTAACCGAGGGAGCCACCCAGGCGCCCCAGGCAGGTTGTGAAGGCACCATCGGGGGAAGGAGAGGAGAAGCAGCATGGAGGACTGCCCTGGGGTTGGAGTTTTCCTGGGTGACTGGGACGGGTCCTGGTGCTGGAGTTACCATGTTTGTGGTTTCCAATGACATTTCAGTCACCATCAACATGAGGAGTAAACTGGCTATAATTAACTCCCTTTTTGGAAGCAAGGTAAAGACGTGGGTGTCGCTAGCTGCGTAGAGGGTCAAACTCGGTCATCAGTGAGGAGCAGTGGTCAGCATGCTGGCAGGTGTTTCCCAGCATGTGGTAGAGACTCGTGTTCAGTCACTGAGAAGCAACTGGTAACACAGGGTAGGTCTTACCAGGTGGTGGGCAGCGTTATCAGGAGATGCCCAGATGTTGCCAGGTAGCGGTGAGCCCTATGCAGTCATCGGTGAGGCCAGTGTTGACTCAGCCACCAGAAGTGTTGCCGGGTGCCATTCAGGGGTCCCCGGGTGCTACCAGTCATGAGTCATGGCTAGTCAGCAGTGTGGAACAGCACCTACCACATGCTGTTCACATTGCACCCCGGTTCGTGGTCACCACTGCCACCACATGTAATTCTGGTGTCGCTGACTCCTATTTGACATCAAACAGTAAACAGAGAACCTTCCTCGGTGGTCTCCTACCTCCAGGAGGAAGGCTCTGAGTGGAGCCCCTCTCTGACACTGCTGTTGGCATTGCTTAGGGCTGACTGAGCACAGCCTCACCAGAGTTCAAGCCCATGCAGGTGAACACTTCGTGCACACGGAGGGGACAGTTCCAGACAGTGCCTGCGGTTCACCACATGTCACTCAGTGCCCCAGTTCTTGGCGGAGGGTGGGTGTGGGAGTGCCATCCCCACTGCCTGGGAGCCTGGCTCACTGTCCTGAACCATTTTTCCTAAGGAAAAAGACACATTTGATAAGTGACCCTTTCCACTACTCACACTGTTTCCATAATGCGACTGACTCTCTAAACAAGTCAAGGAACACCGCTTCTCTCTAGTGTTTCATTGATTGTGGGTTCAACTGAAATATCATCAGCCATAGGCTATCCAGAACTTGACTGTGTCACAGGTAACAACGATTCACATTCGTTTTCTGCAGAATTTATTGACAATTCCATATTGATAAGAGGTCCCATGTGCACATTAACTCTAGAAGCTGGATATTATTAAAATACGTTCAATTAACTGAGGCTTAGACTACTATTTGATAAGCTATCACTAAATGTGTTAACTGACGTGAGGGTTGTAAATGTTCCGTAGGGCTACAGCGAACACATCTTGATTAGTATTGACCGTGCAAAAACTAAATGACTCATTAGAGAATGAAAATATGTGTACAGTGGTCCAAAAGAGCTCCTCAAATGGTACTAACATCCTTTATGAATATTTGTAATCAATTATTTGACAACCACATTTAACTCACAATGTAATACTTTGTGAATGTGCGTTTGTATAATTCATGTGTATCTGGAAAGGTACAATTCAAGGGTCGGGTTCCTTTTAGAAATTAACATACAGTATTATGGGTTTGGGGGGAAAAGAAAACAAATCTATTTATTTTGTAAAATATTCCAGGGAAATTTTGACCAAGTAGGAATTTTTTACCTTCCTTTCTGATGTCTTGGAAATCAAGCATCCTGAGTCTGTCATAAGAGAAGTTCTCTTTTAAGGGCACCAGGTTGCCTCTGTCGGTAAGAGCGTGTGACTCTTGACCTTGGGGTTGTAAGTTCGAGACCCACGTCAAGTGCAAAGATGACTTAAGAATTTTACATCTTAAAAATAAGAGAATGGTTCTTCTTCTCTCTTTAGCCTTTGTTCCCCAAGAAGAACTACGAATGCCTGACGAGCTGTGAGTTCCTCAAGTACATCCTAGCGGTGAAGCAGGGGGACTGCCCGGCCCCCGAGAAAGCAAGCGGATTTGCCGCCGCCTGTGTGGAAAGTTGTGAAGCTGACAACGAGTGCTCTGGGGTTAAGAAATGTTGTTCCAATGGGTGCGGACACACCTGCCAGGTGCCCAAGACGCTGTACAAAGGTAATGAGCAGAGCACCCACTGTGAAGGGACCCTCACAGTGGGGTTGTGTGTGCATGGGGAAGGGTGTCAGTCAAAGATGGCACTACGGGGGTGCCCAGGGGGCACAGTCGGTTGAGCGCCTGACTCTTGGTTTCGACTCTGGTCATGATCTCACAGTTGGTGAGTTCAAGCCCCACGTCAGGCTCTCTCTGCCCTCCCCCACTCACTTACTCTTTCTCTCAAAAACGAAAACCAAAAACAAAGATGGCACCATTGGAAGAGAAGAAAAACGGTAAGAAAGTGTACTTTGTGCCACAAACATCTGAAAATACCACCGGATCGTATAGATCAGCCACAGCGCACACATTCTGGGGCAGAGCAAATCATCCTTATCACATTTAACATTTCAGGAGGACAACATCACTTCAGGAACTTTCTCGTACTTTTCTCCAGTAAGAATAAATCAATTCGGCTGCTCTGGGTACATTGGAGTAAATGGATTTAAATCCTTGGAAAATGGGCTGGGGGTGGGGCACCCTTGAGAAATGCATAACCAATGCACCAGTATTGTGGATTTCTTGTTGGCATAATCCAAGAACACGAATGTCATTGTGTGGACTGTCACTATTTTGAGTCGTGTCTTGAGAACCAGGGGGAGGAGGAGCTATCTTCCAGAGATGGGGAGTCAGTCCATCAAACCATTTATATATATAAATATTATTATTAATATTATAAGTAGAGAGAATCATCTTTGATTCTCCTCTCTTTCACACCAAATATATATTATTTCCAAATATAGGTCAGTTATTTTTAAACCGCATGAAACACTATCGCCAGCAATATGCCCGTTTTGAATTATGTGCTGGCTGGCGAACTATTTTCAGAAGTCTGCTCTTAGATCACTCTCATTTCCCAGGACTTATGTCCCTGCCCCGGTCTCCTCTGGCCCACACTGAGAATTACTCCAGTCTGAAACCTGTGTAATCCATCGGGCTTTTCTTTTCTTACTGCACCCCCCCTTTCTTTTTTCCATAGGATCTTTGGAAAACTGGCATAAATACCTGTCTCAAATTCAAAATAATTGCCGCTTTCCCCTTCTTACTGGGTGACGTTTCTTTAATAGATTTAAAGTTTTATTGTTTTCATGCCTCTCATTGTAAACTACATAAAATCGCTTTTGCAAAACCAAACACCATTTAATTTTTCTAAAGTCTGTTATTATGAAACCTTCTCTGTTATTATAGATCATTTGCTATTTAAATATTAGCATTTACCACAAAAATAGCATGCTTTTATAGTGATTGTTGAAAACCCATTTGTAAAACCCTTAGTGTTTTTAAAGTACGGTGTTTTAAAGAGGCATTCTACGTTAAAATATGCTTTTTATTTAAAAAGCATTGAAGAGTCAGTGTGAATTTCAAATATGCCTGCCTGGTTCACCAAGAATAAAGGAAATAGTCTGTGAAGGGCCAGCATAAAATGATTAATTATTAAAAGAGACTTGCAATTTAAACCTATGCTTAACTCTATCTTTCTCTCTCTCTCTCTGTCTCTCTCAAAAAAACATAAACTTTAGGAAAAAAACTTTTAAAGGGGCGCCTAGGTGGGTGAGGTCATGATGTCTCACTTTGTGAGTTCAAGTCCCATGTCAGGCTCTGTGCTGACAGCTCGGAGCCTGGAGCCTGCTTTGGATTCTATGTCCCCCTTTCTCTCTCTGCCCCTCCCCTGCTTGCACTCTGTCTCTTTCTCTCTCTCAAAAATAAACATTAAAAAATTAAAAAAAAATTTAAACCTATGCTTAACTAAATATGATGGACTTTTAAAAGAAGCGTTGAAGTCTCTCTCCTTCTATAAAGTAGCTCTTGGCTTTTTATGGAGACGGGCAGTTCATGCAGAACTCATTAGAAATAGGATGAACAGTCTCTTGACCTGATGATGACTTTTGCCCAATGAGACTAGGATTATATTACTGTTTTTTTGAGCACACACATAGCTGCAGGTAGGTATTTTCCCCTACGCTCTGTTGGGCAGTCCCTGAAGGCGGGCTGGTTTCCACGTCGGGGGCGTCTGACCATGGCAGTGAGCATGCGAGCAGGTGCAACCAGTGCAAGTCGGAGGGGCCCCACACAGCCGGCCAGAATGCTTCCCGCCACAGCCTTGGCTGATTAGCCACCCGAAGCGTGTAATCGTGTTCCTGACTGGAGTTGCACCGAGGAGCGTAGTGGGGCTCATGGCCCCCTATCTCCCAGGTAGAGGGTCCTCTTGGACCCAGCGCTTGGCTGTGCAAGGAAAGAAAGACCAACTACCCAGTCAGACATCCCGCACCCAAATCCCCCTGGGCTCGTCTGTGGGGGACCAGCCCCCACCATCCTTCTGGCCTGCCCGTTGCCTTCTTATTGTCCCGAACCAGCCACGGGTCAGAAGCTTGCCCTCTGCTCACTTCTCAGGCTAGGTCTGTGCCATCTGTTTCCTTAGGAAGAGGGCACCCATCATTGGGTGAGATGGGCTGGTCCTGACCCCAGTCCGCAGGTGCTGACACTGAGCTTGCAAGCTGTTTCTCAGACGACTTGGTTTTCGGTGGCGGGAATACATCTGCCCCCCTGGTTCCCAGCTGGGCCAGCTCTCCTGGTATTTTCTTTTTTAAAAAAATTTTTTTTCAACGTTTATTTATTTTTGGGACAGAGAGAGACAGAGCATGAATGGGGGAGGGGCAGAGAGAGAGGGAGACACAGAATCGGAAACAGGCTCCAGGCTCTGAGCCATCAGCCCAGAGCCTGACGCGGGGCTCGAACTCACGGACCGTGAGATCGTGACCTGGCTGAAGTCGGATGCTTAACCGACTGCGCCACCCAGGCGCCCCTCTCCTGGTATTTTCACTTGGAGTCTGTCCAACTACCACAGCAGGGCCTGAAATCACTGTATTAATACAGTGTAGGTCAGTTAAAAGATGTATCAATATCAGATATATTTTTTAAAATTTTTTAACGTTTATTTATCTTAGAGAGACAGAGATAGAGTGCAAGTGGGGAAGGGGTAGAGAGAGACGGAGACACAGAATCCGAAGCAGGTTCCAGGCTCCGAGCTGTCAGCACTGAGCCCGACATGGGGCTCGCACTCAAAAACTGCGAGATATGACCTGAGCCAAAGTCAGACGCTTAACTAAGCCACCCAGGTGCCCCCCAATATCAAATATTTTAATAAAAGCACTGATCTGTCAGTTGTTGGGGTACAACATCAGGTCCAGTATTCCTTATCAGAGTACTCATGCACATAACGCTCACCTGTGGACAAATAATCATCTCAACTTTTGCAGTAAATTGATATGTACTGGCCTCTACTGTATTTTTCCTTTCATGAAAGCTTATTGGGTTAGTAAAATTTTTCTTAAAGTACAGAAATATATACAAATGTTCTGTTCAGCCTCCTGTGTTTGGGGTAGGGAAGAGGGGGACTTCCTAGATTCTATAGCTTCCAAACCTGATGATGCTCTTAAAATCAATGCATGTTTTGAAAAGATGGTCAACAAACTGCATTCTATTTGAGCGTTTAATTTGGCTTATGCTGTAGGAATTGTCCTAAGCCGTTGTCTCTAAGTTGACCTTATAGACTTGTGTGAGAGTTTAAAAGAAAGCAAGACAACAGACAGCTTTTCCTTCGCCCTTCAAATAACATTGTTAGCCACACCCCGGGACGCTTGCAAAGGTTAACGCAGGTAAATGCCCCCTGAGCGGCCAGTACCCTGCGGTGCAAACCAGAGCATGGTCTCGGGAAGTTGAAAAGGCTGATTCTCCACAGGTAAAACATCAACGCTTGCACATCGGACACTTGTGACTCCCCCCCCCCACCTTGTCTGTTTTAATTCTGATTTATAGCTGACCTACACTCTCCTCCCTCCAGAAGGTGATATAATTTTTTATTTTACTGCCCAAACTGGTGCTTCTGACTCGCAGCTCTGGCACTCATTTGGGTAGGGAAGGTGAGAACCTGAAATTGTTGTCCAAATGTAAAGACTGAGATCAATTTGTGGCTCTCCGTGATCTCTGTTTTCTCTTTACCATGCGCAAACCAACATTAATCATGTATCGCTTTGTTTCCAGAAAGATCTGATGATGGTGTTGACTTAATATCTCCATGAATGTCTTCATATTTGAAATATTTAAAGCTCAGGTCTTTAGAGATGGTCTAATAACACTTTTCACAAATGCATTTTTTAGCATTTTGAATACAGTGACCCGATTCCTGGATGTGATATGAACACAAATTGCCTGAGTACTGATTAGCTATGTGAGAGATAAAGGGTAGTGGCTAATTATTGAATCGTTGGAACACTGTATCTTGCTACATTTTCATAACATTTAGACTCACGATAGAAACATTTTTACAGGAGTAATCAGATCTCGTGATTTACAACTGCCGACTGTGATCATTGAGTTTTCTGTCATTCTATTTGCAAAGTTTTTTACATCATTGGGTTTCACCGAAATACTTGTCACGCTTTAAAGAAAATGCACCTGTAATGTCCCATACGGTGGGATGTTATAGGATAACATGTTTGACAGAACAGCACAGATTTCAGGGGACTAGGTTGTTCAAAACTAAAGAAGAAAAATTCTAGTCATTTACGTAATAAAGGACACACGGAGAAGGTATGCCTGGTGCACATCTGGTTGTGCAGCATGGATGCTGGCTAAGCTACCTAGGACTCTTCAGAAGGCCGGGCTGTGGGGGCTGGGTGTCTCGGGGCTGGCGGGGCCGAGGGGCTGAGCCCCATCTGCACACAATTACAGCCGAGTCCTGGAGCTCCTTCCAATCAAGGGAGCCAGCTGACCCTAATGCAAAGCAGATGGGTCGTTTCTCCACATGCAAATCGCAAGATTGTTGTACGTAATAATTAAAGAGATTGTTAAATGAAGAAATGGGAACTGACATCACTCTGATGCTCATTATGTTCGATTAAGGCTCTTGGTCGTTGAATGATATTCAAGATTAAAACCATCTAGCAAGGGGATTGTTATGCTTGCGTTTGCTGCTGATGAGTTCAGGTTACTTCAGCGGCCGGAGTATTTACCGGAGGTGCATTTATGCTGGAGGATTACGCATAGGAGGGCCAAGGAGAAACTTGGATGGGGAATCTCAGAGAATGTGCCATATGAGTGTAAAGAACTCCCCAGTCCTCTTCTCTTTACTCAGCACAAAGAAACCGCGTGAATCCTGAAATGTCCTCAGAGGCCACCCCCTCCTTGCTCATGTGCATACCCCTTGGCAGAAAGGGTGCCTAGTACCCTGCCTGCAGCGCAAACACAATGCAATCATTTTGTTGAGATTTGATCTCAATCTTTAGAGAAGCTACTTTGGGATTAAAACTCATCTGCAACGAACTTTCAGATTTTCCAGCATATCAGCAATGGTTAGCAATCGGTCTTTTCTTTTTAACTGGGAAAGTTATGTCAATGCAATAAAACGGTTCCATTTTGTAAACTTACTAACATAGTTTTGTTACTGTTTAGCATTTACGTTTCAAAAACATAAGAGTAAGCAAATACCTGTGCTAAGTTTTCTTCCTTCTGCTAAGTGAGTGCCCTCCGGCAGCGAGGGGGTTGCCCATTGGTGCCAAGATGGCGTTCCTGTATCCTCTTAATTTCTGCTGACAGGGGGTTAGGCTGTTCCTTCAGCACGCATTTACTGAGCATTTGCTGTGACAGAATGTGCTCGCCTGAGCCATGATGAGGTGTGGGAATGAAGGAGAAGGTGAACATCGTCAAATGACCTGGCTGCAGTAAGAGGCAGTTAAGTGCACATGTTGACTGCTGCAGGCTAAGCTTCGAAGAGAGAGCAGAGAATGGGACCTTTATTTCCAATGGGGAGGTTTAGGGTAGGTCGCTCTGAGGGGCGGCATTCAGACTGAGCCCCGGAGTATTCACGTGTCCATGGTCAGAAAATAGGAAAGACAATTCAGACTGAAAAAAATCCGTATAAACGCGTCGTGGTGGTAGGAAGCAGCTGACAGTGTGTTTCTAGAAAAGCTGGGTGTAAAGGTAGGTTGTGTGACCAATATGTAAAATGTACCAAGAGACAAACAGAGAGATCACTGGTGGTAGATGATAAAGATAAATGCCGTGACGTGATGTTGAGAAGTTTCCCTTCGTTCCGCAGAAAATAAGATGTGATTGAATAGTCTGAGAAGGTGGAGGGGACAATCTGTCCCGTACTCTAGGAAAATCATAGCCACAAAACACTGTGAAGGGGGAACTAAAAAGATGGGCTTGCGGGCACATGGGACGGGACGTTGTTAGGAAGGTCCAGACAGGAGATAGAGGGCCTAAGAAAGGGTGGTCACCATGGAGACAGGATGATTGGGGAATTCCTGAAATTATACTCTGCAGTCAAACCACGAGGTGTTGGTAGGTCCAAGAGCAAGTCGAGAGGTCCCTTAGCGATCCAAAAGAATAGAGTTGCCATGCAGATACCATCAGGAGTGGGGACATCCTCAGGAGGGGCATTTGAGTTGGGACTCGTGCAAAGAAATTCATCTGGCCAGCAGGTGGACAGTGGGACCTGCAGCCCTAAATCAGGGTACAGAATCGAGGGTCACATACTTAGCAGCAATACTCTAGGCCTGAAAGTGAATGTGACTCTCAATGTAAGGTTGTGCACCGAAAACAAAAGTTTATGACCTGAACCTGAATAAACCCTCACACAATGGCAGAACAGGAGACAAATTCCACCCCAGCCCGCCACATCAGGGACATTCAAATCAGAATCTTTAAGGGATATGCAGAGCTATGAAAAGTGCCTCCTTTCTCTGCTTTTCTCAGTAGCTCTTCCTAATTCAAAATGTGGCAAGCAAGAGAGAAACCTGAGATCAGGTCATCGCTGTAGGCAACTTCATCTTCCTCAGACTTGACTACTTGATGTTCAAAATGGAGGCAATTAACCCTTCCCCCACAGCACAGACCCACAGTGAAGATCACTTGAGACACCAGCATTCTAGTAAAGGGACAAGGGATGCACATAACCCATCAGCAAAGCAAAACGGAGACTGCAGTGGGTATGGGGAATGTTTTCTAGAAAGTATTTTGTACAACTCATTGACCTTTGACTGGATATATTTGGTGCTGTTTAAAAATTACCCAACTCCACCCACCTCAATGTTTAAGGACTTTAAAGTGTCCCCAAACAAGACGCAGCATAAATTAAGGTCAACGTGAAATCAGAGTTGATGTTCAGTAAGGTCACTAACAGGCATTAGATATTATCTACGTTTCGTATTTGCACATTTTTCAGTTTCCTGTCTGTTTAAAACGAAGAAGTGGAAAACGAAATAGAGCATTGTCAAATAACGTTTTCAAACGAGTTGTCAACGTGTTAGGCAAATGCTCATTCTCAAGAGAAAATGATCTTAATGGCATGTGAAGTTCTAGGTTGTCGTGGCGTTGAACATCGTGGTGCCATGGACTCTACCTAATCCAATTAGTCTTACACATCCTATGAGTACATAATCTTATTTTAAACTTCCCTTTCCATAATGGCTACCATTTGGAACTATGGTTCTTAAATCTGTCCGTCGCCAGACCACCTGAATGCACCATGGGTTGAAAAAAGAAATCAGAATGATGAACTACTTTAAAATGAGCCACCTGTGAGGGACTTTTGAAGCAAGGCGGTCACTCGTGCCAAAACCAAACATTATAAATTCATCATTTTTCAATTTTAAGCCATAAGTCTATAGGAGGGAGCCCAGCAATCAATTGGGGAATGCTAAGGACCCATGCTTTGGAAATCATTCTTGTAATGTTTGACCACATGAGAGCATTTTAGGCTTATAATTTTTTTCCTTAGAAGGCAAACATTCTGAGATGGAAAGGCAAGTAGACCGGGGAACCACGTTGTAATGACTTTAGACTGTATCAGCAGAAACAGAGCATGTTGGATGGGAACAGTGTCTTCAAACTCTTCACGACCATGGCGTCACATGAATTCTTGTTAACCGCGTGTGATGCCACTCGGTAACATGGCTTATTCAGAAGAACGCACATAAAGGAATTGCTCTCAAGATGCCTGGGTGAAAAATGCTTGTTCAGAATCAGGAACCAGTTTAGAGTCTCTTTTTAAAAAAGGGAAAGCTAAAAGAAAAGAAGGTAATTCTCCTGAAATGTGGTGGGCTGACGTCAGTGTGAGAAGCTCTCAAATGAGAAACCGTGATAGGGAGAAGCCACTTTCCTGGGAGGAAGTGAGGATCTGTTGTCATTACACGAGATTTGTCTTTTCTAAAGGTTTTCTTCCTCAGCTTTACCTCTGATCATTTTAATTGCCATGGTCCTGTTTTAGGTGTCCCCCTGAAGCCCAGAAAAGAGTTAAGATTCACAGAACTGCAGTCTGGACAGCTGGAGATTAAGTGGTCCTCGAAATTCAATATCTCCATTGAGCCTGTGATCTACGTGGTGCAAAGAAGATGGAATTATGGAATCCATCCTAGTGAAGACGATGCCACACACTGGCAGACGGTAGCCCAGGTCAGTGCTTCCTGCGCCCTACCCCTCCCCGCCTTGAGGCAATGTCGACCACATACCTGCAGGCAGAAAATTAACTTGCTGGGGCCCCTGGGTGGCTCTGTCGGTTATGCGTCCGGCTGCAGCTCAGGTCATGATCTCATGGTTTGCATGTTCGAGCCCAGTGTTGGGCTATAGGCTGACAGCAGGGAGCCTGGAGCCCGCTTCGGATTCTGTGTCTCCCTCTCTCTCTGCCCCTCCCCTGCTCGCACTCTGTCTCTCTCTTCCTCTCTCTCAAAAATGAACCAACATTAAAAAAAGAAAATTAACTTGCTGTGCCCCAGCCAGAGTAGCCTGACTGCCGAAATAACTCACTCAGATGCGGACATAATGGCACGTGTGTGTACGGAAGACAGGACGAGTCCACAGATATAACCCGGTACAACTAGCAACTTGACTATTGGCCTACTTTGCTCAAAATACATGTGCAGTGGAGATAACTCTCTAATCTGAGTGTTCACATTTACTTCCTCCAAGAACTGCATTTCCTTGAGATAAACTTAACACCGGCCAGAGTCAAAGAAACATAACACTACTAGGACTAGTTCACGGGACATTGGACCATCTACACGACTCCTGTTTCTCCTGCACTTCAAGCCTTCCTTCTACACAAGGACTTGAGTAGCATGGAGGAAGATTCCTATCGCAAAAGCCCTTAGTGGGAAGTAGCCGTCAGCTCCTAAATCTTTGCTAAGTGCTTCCTCCGTCCCGCTCAGCTTACACACTGATACCCCACCTGCATGGAGTACGCTTGGGGTTTATCTTGACCCGTGCTGCTTCCTTTTCTGTCTCGCTGATGAGAAAAGCAAAATATTTTCTTTCTTTTTAAGAGCTGCTAAACGGACTGCCAGCTGCAAGAAAACTACACGGTTCTAGAAAATGAACAGATTCTCAGTGTGAACCTGCCTCATGTCCTCAGCAGCTGAAACGCCTTCTCCACATGTGTCTGGAGGCACAGATTCTGACCTTAAGTGGATCGGGTCATTTTTCTCCAAGGACCCGATTCCCGTTACTGTTTCCAGTAGATGCAGAATCAGTTTCAGGGTGCAAGTGTTTGGAGGAGGAATTTGGTTCTTTTCTAATAGTATCTCAAAGAGGATAAACACTAAAATAATTTAGACACTCCTAAATAAATGAACAAATGAGTGGGGAAAATGCCTGCTCAAATAAATTTAGGAATTGTTTCATTCCTATTTTCTTAAAACTTTTTTTTTTTTGCTTTACTAAAACATAAAGGTGTTTGGCATACAGCCAACATACATGATATGTTCCTTAATGGGACAATCTCACTTGTAAATTTTACGAATTATTTAAAGATTTATGAAAGTAATGGACAAGAAGATCATGTCTCTTATTCCTTTTTTTGAAGAGAGGGAAGATCTTGAATAATAATAATAAATTTTATAAATGTGTATAATATTTTATATTACAATTCTATTTATATTAATATATAATACATTAATAGTAATGTAATTATTACTATTATTATTAACTAGTTCACATCTTTCTTTCTCTTCCTTCCACCCTGCCTTCTTTGTCTGCTAAATGCTATGGGGAACGTGCTGGCTTCAGGTTTTTAAACTAAAAGTTAAAAGTAAATGGTGATGTCTGTGGAAGGGTCGCCTCGCAGTTTGCTAAATGAGGTAGAAAGCCACACGTGAGAGTTCATAGCTTTTCCTTGGTCTCGGAAATGTTTCTCTTCCCTTAGATATTAAAGTAAATGTGACACCCCTTTGCAAGAAGTTATTGTGGACCCGGGCTAAGGAGGTTTCAGTTCAATCCCACTTGCCCACTTTCACGCACTGAGCGCACATTGGGTTTGGCACTGGGCAACTCACTGGGTCAGTGAGGCCCCGCATGTGGGGATTTGGCTCTTGAAGTCAGTGCAGGGGTCCGCAGGTCCCCCCCACGGATTGTCGGGAAAGCGGGTATGGTTCCCCTCAGCCTGATGAGGTGGGAGGTTAATTGAAGTCTTGTGACTCCAGCAGGAGACGCAGCCAAACCCGCGCACCTTCACCAATGCCCACTTTTTTTCCTTTGGACATTTTATTGGACAGAGAGATATCAACACGCCTCACCCTTGAGAAGCATGACTGGGTCCTTGCAGATCATACGTGATTTACTCAAATAGGGAAAAAAGGCTTGGGTTGCAACATACTTCCGGAAATTGTTAGCGCTCTTTAAAGCATGTGAGTCTCCATCTGACTCCCAAGATTCTATTTGGCAAGCAAGTTAAAGAGGCATTTTTCTTCTATAATTGAAAGGTGATTTCATTTTCTTGCCTATAATGTAATGATTAGCTCATGTATATATTCGCTCATATGTATAACTTAGCGATTAAAACCCTCATGGGTTTAGTGCTGTATTTAGTCACCAGACTCAAGTAGCTCAGCCATGTTCATATGGTTTTGACTCCAGAGATCTTTAACTCTTTGGGGTGAAATACCTATGAATGGAATTAAACACTTGAAATGCCCTAGAAATTCCTTGACCCCTGATAGCTCTTCTCATCACTGAGCACGGTCCCCACACTTAGGCACGAGGGCACAGGGATGTCAAGGCAGCGTGGCGTTGGCTGATGAGGTGGTGCACTTTTACGACAGACCCAGCTGACATGTCTGGGTAAAAGGGTTCTCTGTGCTCTGTGACATCTCCCCCCAGACCACAGATGAGCGGGTCCAGCTGACTGACATACGACCCAGCAGGTGGTACCAGTTCCGAGTGGCAGGTGTCAACGTGCATGGGACCCGAGGCTTCACCGCCCCCAGCAAACACTTCCGCTCTTCCAAAGGTCAGTCTCACTTTCCTGACCCCTCGCTCCCCTCCCCCTCCCAGCATACCTGGGATGCACATCCCTTGTGTCCCCACGTTCCTATTCACAGCTGCTCAGCAGGTGGCTTTGCTGTTGTTGGCGAAAAGGACCAGATGTGTTTGAAGGCAGCGTGTGAATATACGATTAAGACCGTCATTGGGCTTTATACCTTCCAAACATCGCACAAGATAATCTAGTGGGGTTTTCTCAACTTTGAACTGGTGGTTTTCCATTATCAACTTGTGTTGAGTCTTAGCCTCGAGATATTCTGTGTCAGTCACCAGTGAATTAATTTTTAGAGGGGAGGGTTTCGTTTGAGCTACTTTAGACTCTGCGGCTTTTCTTGAAACGGTTGTCATATTGAATGTGAGTTAATCTCTTTTATTTCATCACACCCAGAATCTAAACCCCGAGTCACCCCGAGTCATCTACTCCCAGTCACCGTATTGTAGTTGAAGGACATACCCGGGTTAGATATGAGTGTTCCCTCCATGTGTATTCCCCCAGTCGTGTTTAGATGGCTGTGCACCTCCAGCGTTCATTATACATGTGTTACAAAACCTCATCTCAGAGCCGGGCTGGTCGGCTTGTTCACCTACTAACCAGTCGCTCTCGTCCTACATGGAAGCGAATTCAGATTTATATTAAACAAAACGCTTTGTGATATCAATGCATAACAGAAGGCTTATGACATCAGTCATACGTATGTTACGGGAGGGTTTGAACGGGCTGCTCTGACTTGCGACTTCTGCCGCAGGATTGGTCTTCAGTGGAAAGCTTGCAACCGAGATAATTTCATATTTGGATCCTATTACAGTGTGTGTTGTAGACTTTTAACTCTCTTTTTTTTGAAAAAGAACTTTTAAGAAAGGAAAAGTGCATTTTTTCCCTCCATGGAGGCAAATGCACTAAGCGAGTTTAAAAGTGGAATCACGGACATCAGACCTTGTCTCGAGGCTGTCTCCAGTTGGCCTGATGATTTAGAGAGGGAAGTGCAATAATTAATTCACAGTGGGTTCGGAGGTGAGGATCAACTTGGGTGTCATGATTCAAAGGCGAGCCAGGCACGTCGCGGCCGAACTGTGTTACCATCTGTTCTGCTGCTGCAGGTCGTCTGGTGGCTCAGGTCAGGGCTGCAAATACGTGGGCAGAAGCACTTTGCAGCCCTTGGAGACACATGTGGAATACCTTTAGGGATGGGGCGGGATCTGGGCAGGGCTCTGTTGAGTTTCCAGGGCCGGTCATGTAGCTTCCAACTGCCTAAGAGGCACCCGTTCCGAGGAAGCAGCCAGGCCATGCTGTCCCAATATCCCTGCCATGTGTCTGAGCACCTTAGTCGTCTAGAATCACGGCTGCATCCCTCAAATTTAAAGGGGCTCTTGTTGAATGAGAATGCACCATGTTGGGGAAACATCACAGTCACCATTACTCTCTTCTAGTTACTCATTTTCCAAACACATCCAACCCTCAGCATCCCAGACTCCAGTTATTGCAAACCAAAGACGTCTGTGCAGAATTCATAGTAGATCCTAGTCTTTTCCCAGCAAAAATGCATCACACTACTGTGGAAATGTAATACACTGGCTAAATAAATGGTCAAAGACATTTCCTTCCAGGACTGGTCTAAAGGATCCTTAACCATTTACAGGGTGACACCACGTCTTTCCCCACCTTATTCCAGTTTCATCAAATGTAGAAATGGGCCTCACTGGGAAAACAGTTTTTAAACCCCTTGAAATATAATTATTGCATCATTACAATCATTCCTCTTAAGTGTACAATGGAGGGACTTGTGGTATTCACAGTGATTTGTGGGGCACTGTCTTCCCCTGTGAGAACCCCCCCCAGGAGCCTCCATGCTGTAGAACAAAGTTAGTTTTGCATCTTTACCTTCTTCTTGGATCACTCATGTTTCATTCCTTTTTGTATTCAACAAATATTTGTTGAGCACCTATATGTATCAGGCACTGTTCTGGGCACAGGGGATAATAAATGAACAAAAGGAAAAAAACTATCTGCTCTTGTGGAACACACACACACACACACACACACACACACACACACACATATTTATTCCAGTTGGGGGGTGTGAGGAAACAGTAAATAAGATTAATAAGCAAAATACTGTTGTAAAGTAGGATAGGGATTACTGATGATAGAATAGAACTCAGGACAATACTAAGGAAGGGTATTCGTTTTTTTTTACAGTCTTAGCGAAGGCAGACAAGGGTTTTGCTGAGAAAGAGATGTGTGTGAAAGGAGATGAGAGGGGAGAGGAGGGGGAAGCAGGGATGCCGGGGGAGGCCACTCTAACGATCCTGGGCGAAGGTGATGGTACTTTGGACGAAGCCAGAAGTGAGTTGCCCGGAAGAGTGAAGAGTGAAGTTGCCAGTGAGTGATGCTGGTGGGCCACCTCAGTAAATTCTAAAAGTCACTGGCTGGTTCATTTAATGTGAGTGAATTTTATCATATGTAAGTTAAATTCCAATAAGGTTGTTAACACAATTTTTCCCCAGTAAGATCCCCATTCTACATTTGACGAGATCGGGTAACTGGGGAAAGATGTGTTGCCGTCTTGTAAATGGTCAGGCATCCTTTGGACGAGTCCTGGAGGAAATCTTCAACCGTTGAGCGCAATTATAACACTCCCATCATTTTGTGATGCGACTTCACTGAAACCATATTAGAGGTGATTACGAAATCTGCACAAACGCTTTAGGTCTGTGAGAGTGCAAGAACCACACAATCTAGAATGTTCCTCCCAGGGAGATCTGTAGCTATGGAGCATATTTGCAAAAGCAGGAAATAAAACGTTTTAACACTGCCATGTTTCAAAAAATGGTACGTTTTCATTTAATAAAAGCCCATTTATTCCCGCTGTGCTCCACAACTGAAACTATACCAGTTGTAAGTCCTCGAGTGGTTTAAAATTGCTTTGAGAAAGAATTATTGCTTCTAAAATAATAGTCTGTGCAAAGGGTAAGTAATTTCTAGTGTATTTGAGTTGAGTAGAGGGCCAGCCTTGATCACTTAAGTCTGGGTCAAGGGAAAGGCGAAGGGGGAAGGGATTTTTTCCATCTACAATAAACACATCTGAAAATAAAAGGCAAATTAAATACAGAAAGAAAAAAAAACTTGATAAAATGGGTTTCATTTAGCTTATGCTTTCTGCCTGCTATTCATTGGCCTTAATCCTGATTTTCGTGGAGAAGCCAAAATTCTTGTCATTCTCTTCTTTATGGTTATGTTTAAATACAAAATTAGTCTGTGGTTTGCCAGAATGGATTGGCTGTTAACTAAGTTAATTTCCTTTTAACTCATGTATTTTCCAATAACTTAATCTCAGCCCCTCAGAGTGATGATTTGTACAGAAAGTTCTGAGTTGTTGCTACGTTGGTAGATTGCTGTTAGCCCGTACGTCCCCCAGAAGAAATGCATGATTATAAAATAGAGAAAATCAGTAATTTTTGCTGGCAACAGAAAGCCCAAAAGAGAGGTTGGGATAATTTCTGTATTCACTTATTTAAATCCTCTCCCACCTTTCCCCCGGTACTTAAGAAGGAAAATCGGCTTTGACGTTAAAAATGAAGATGACAAATAATTCGGTATCCTAACGCATAATGTCTCTTTCTGGTTTTTGTCTCCTGATTTGGAAACTAGGAATGGTAATGCTTCCACGTGGCGACTTACCTTCCTCGGTCACTGCTAGGATGAAGCGCCTTTCTTTCACCCCGCTGCCACATCCTAGGGTGTACCAGAATTTTTGTGTCCTGTTGCATTGGAACAAACCACGGGAAGCACGGCGCATAGGAACAGAGGGTGCCATTGCGCCTGAGAGCTTTGAGCGCAAGTGGCTTACTCGGGAGGCCGTCCAGGGAACAAGGGGGATGGGAGGTGAGGCAGGGAGGAAGAGAAGGAAGAGGGTAAGAGGCCGGTTCCCATACTGGTTGTCACTGTGGGCGACCAAACTCCTTGCTGTGGGGACTCAGTCCTCAGATGCACGCTATTCCGCGGGGACATCCGTCCACACACGGGCAGAGCTCTGGCTGCTGGCGGGGCCAGCTGAGGAGCTGGGTTCCCAAGTTAGCCATGCGTCCTGAAGCCGTGAGGTGCAGGGACTGACACTGGGATGCGGGGGTCTGCAGGGCTCGGGCTCCACGGCCATGGGATTCCTGCTACAGCAGATCACGGACATGTTCTGCTGTGGTTCAAAATAAATACATTCACAGTTTCACAAAAGGAATGCCCGCGTTCCTAAAGATCCCCGGTCCCCTTCCTGTGTCAGACGGCGGCAATAACCCAAGAAAGGCGTGCCTTTCTGGCCTCGCCGTGCGCCTCTCCCCTGATGGCACCCTCTCCCAGCGTCTGGCAGGCTCCACGGTGTGTCCGTACCAGAGCCACTCATGTCCAACCCTCAGAGGCCCCAGACGTGGCAGTGAGCCATCGGGAGGGACAGCTGTAGCTACAGAAAACCTACTTTTTGGGTTCCACGCCATACTTGCTCGTCTTTTTCAGCAAATTGGTGTTTAACCTTCGTTTGACCGTGTGGATACTTACTGAAGGGCCACAAAATGCATGTGTGTTGCATGCCCCATATTGGAAATGTATATTGGTGAGTCCTACTACCTGGGCCAAACGTTTGCTGAGTTTGGGAAGTAATGTCCCTGCCCATCCAGATGACTTCTGTGTGTCAACGTACGTAGCAAGAGAAAGAAGGAAGTCTTCAAGTTTTGTAGGTTGTACAGAGCAAAATCCGAATTTTGGGTTTTTGGTGGTTTTTTGTTTTTTTGTTTTTTGTTTTTTTTTGCATGTTGCTGAAAGCAGGCAAACATTTGGATGTTTAAGACTGGTCAGTATCAGTTGACCATTCTGAAACAGCAAACGTTAAAGGGACGTAGAGGGAACACTAAAAATCCACCTTCTGTTGCTAAGCTAATATGTCATTTTCTAGTTATTATATTCATGTCCCTCCAAATTCG